TGCAAAAATTATAGGGGGATAAGTCTGTTGAGTATACCTGGCAAAGTGTATGGTAGAGTAATTATTGAAAAAATTAAGAGTAAGACGGAGAATAGGATAGCAGATGAACAAGGAGGCTTTAGGAAAGGTAGGGGGTGTGTGGACCAGGTGTTTTACAGTGAAACATATAAGTGAACAGTATTTAGATAAGGCTAAAGAGGTCTTTGTGGCATTTATGGATTTAGAAAAGGCGTATGACAGGGTGGATAGGGGGGCAATGTGGCAGATGTTGCAGGTGTATGGTGTAGGAGGTAGGTTACTGAAAGCAGTGAAGAGTTTTTACGAGGATAGTGAGGCTCAAGTTAGAGTATGTAGGAAAGAGGGAAATTATTTCCAAGTAAAAGTAGGCCTTAGACAAGGATGTGTGATGTCACCGTGGTTGTTTAATATATTTATAGATGGGGTTGTAAGAGAAGTAAATGCGAGGGTCTTGGCAAGAGGCGTGGAGTTAAAAGATAAAGAATCACACAAAAGTGGGAGTTGTCACAGTTGCTCTTTGCTGATGACACTGTGCTCTTGGGAGATTCTGAAGAGAAGTTGCAGAGATTGGTGGATGAATTTGGTAGGGTGTGCAAAAGAAGAAAATTGGAAAGTGAATACAGGAAAGAGTAAGGTTATGAGGATAACAAAAAGATTAGGTGATGAAAGATTGGATATCAGATTGGAGGGAGAGAGTATGGAGGAGGTGAATGTATTCAGATATTTGGAAGTGGACATGTCAGCGGATGGGTCTATGAAAGATGAGGTGAATCATAGAATTGATGAGGGGGAAAGGGTGAGTGGTGCACTTAGGAGTCTGTGGAGACAAAGAACTTTGTCCTTGGAGGCAAAGAGGGGAATGTATGAGAGTATAGTTTTACCAACGCTCTTATATGGGTGTGAAGCATGGGTGATGAATGTTGCAGCGAGGAGAAGGCTGGAGGCAGTGGAGATGTCATGTCTGAGAGCAATGTGTGGTGTGAATATAATGCAGAGAATTCGTAGTTTGGAAGTTAGGAGGAGGTGCGGGATTACAAAACTGTTGTCCAGAGGGCTGAGGAAGGGTTGTTGAGGTGGTTCGGACATGTGCAGAGAATGGAGCGAAACAGAATAACTTCAAGAGTGTATCAGTCTGTAGTGGAAGGAAGGCGGGGTAGGGGTCGGCCTAGGAAAGGTTGGAGGGAGGGGGTAAAGGAGGTTTTGTGTGCGAGGGGCTTGGACTTCCAGCAGGCATGCGTGAGCGTGTTTGATAGGAGTGAATGGAGACAAATGGTTTTTAATACTTGACGTGCTGTTAAAGTGTGAGCAAAGTAACATTTATGAAGGGGTTCAGGGAAACCGGCAGGCCGGACTTGAGTCCTGGAGATGGGAAGTACAGTGCCTGCACTCTGAAGGAGGGGTGTTAATGTTGCAGTTTAAAAAACTGTAGTGTAAAGCACCCTTCTGGCAGAACAGTGATGGAGTGAATGATGGTGAAAGTTTTTCTTTTTCGGGCCACCCTGCCTTGGTGGGAATCGGCCAGTGTGATAATAAAAAAAAATAATATAATTTCCCCCTTTCCTACATACTCTAACTTGAGCCTCACTATCCTCGTAAAAACTCTTCACTGCTTTCAGTAACCTACCTCCTACACCATACACTTGCAACATCTGCCACATTGCCCCCCTATCCACCCTGTCATACGCCTTTTCCAAATCCATAAATGCCACAAAGACCTCTTTAGCCTTATCTAAATACTGTTCACTTATATGGTTTCACTGTAAACACCTGGTCCACACACCCCCTACCTTTCCTAAAGCCTCCTTGTTCATCTGCTATCCTATTCTCCGTCTTACTCTTAATTCTTTCAATTATAACTCTACCATACACTTTACCAGGTACACTCAACAGACTTATCCCCCTATAATTTTTGCACTCTCTTTTATCCCCTTTGCCTTTATACAAAGGAACTATGCATGCTCTCTGCCATCCCTAGGTACCTTACCCTCTTCCATACATTTATTAAACAATTGCACCAACCACTCCAAAACTATATCCCCACTGCTTTTAACATTTCATCTTTATCCCATCAATCCCGGCTGCCTTACCCCCTTTCATTTTACCTACTGCCTCACGAACTTCCCCCACACTCACAACTGGCTCTTCCTCACTCCTACAAGATGTTATTCCTCCTTGCCCTATACACGAAATCACAGCTTCCCTATCTTCATCAACATTTAACAATTCCTCAAAATATTCCTTCCACAGTTATATATATATATATATATATATATATAAGCGACTATTGGCAGAAAGGTGGGCTAGTGCAAAGATGAGTAGTGGGGGGATTGAAGAGGGTTGGAATAGTTTTAAAAATGCAGTATTAGAATGCGGGGCAGAAGTTTGTGGGTTATAGAAGGGTGGGGGCAGGAGGAAAAGAGGAGTGATTGGTGTGGAATGATGAAGTAAAGGGTTGTGATAAAAGAGAAAAAGGTAGCTTACGAGAGGTTTTTACAAAGCAGAAGTGTTATAAGAAGAGCAGAGTATATGGAGAGTAAAAGAAGGTAAAGAGAGTGGTGAGAGAGTGCAAAAGGAGAGCAGATGAAAGAGTGGGAGAGGCACTGTCAAGAAATTTTAATGAAAATAAGAAAAAATTTTGGAGTGAGTTAAACAAATTAAGAAAGCCTAGGGAAAGTATGGATTTGTCAGTTAAAAACAGAGTAGGGGAGTTAGTAGATGGGGGAAAGGGAGGTATTAGGTAGATGGCGAGAATATTTTGAGGAACTTTTAAATGTTGAGGAAGAAAGGGAGGCAGTAATTTCATGCACTGGCCAGGGAGGTATACCATCTTTTAGGAGTGAAGAAGGCAAAATGAATGTGGGGGTAGTGAGGCTTTAACGTAGAAAAAAGGGGGGGTAAAGCAGCTGGAAAATGGGGGACATGACAGAAATGTTTAAAAAAAGGGGGGGGGGATTAGTGTTGGAGTGGTTGGGATTTTGTTTTTAAATGTATGAAGAGGGGAAGGTACCTAGGATTGGGGGAGAGCATGTATGTCCCTTTATATAAAGGGAAAGGGGACAAAGAGATTGTAAAAATTATAGAGGAAAAGTTTATGAGTATACCAGAAAGTTACGGAGGTTATAATTGAGAATTAAGGAAAACAACTAGATTGCGGATGGCAGGGGGTTCAAGTGGTAGGGAATGTGTAGATCAAGTGTTTAACATTGAAGCATATATGTGAACAGTATTTAGATAAAGGTAGGGAAGTTGTATTATGCATTTATGGATTTGAAAAGGCATATGATGAGTGGATAGAGGAGCAAGTGCAGTGTCGCAAGTATATGGAATAGGTGTAAGTTATAAATGCTGTAAAGAGCTTATGAGGATAGTGAGGCTCAGGTGGGTGATGCTACAGAGAGGGAGATACTTCCGGTAAAGGTAGGGTCTTAGACACGGATGTGTAATGTCACCATGGTTGTTTATATATTTATAGATGGGGTTGTAAAAGAAGTAAATGCTAGGGTGTTTGGGAGAGGGGTGGGATTAAATTATGGGGAATCAAATTCAAAATGGGAATTGACACAGTTACTTTTTGCTGATGATACTGTGCTTATGGGAGATTCTAAAGAAAAATTGCAAAGGTTAGTGGATGAGTTTGAGAATGTGTGTAAAGGTAGAAAGTTGAAAGTGAACATAGAAAAGAGTAAGGTGATGAGGGTATCAAATGATTTAGATAAAGAAAAATTGGATATCAAATTGGGGAGGAGGAGTATGGAAGAAGTGAATGTTTTCAGATACTTGGGAGTTGATGTGTCGGCGGATGGATTTATGAAGGATGAGGTTAATCATAGAATTGATAGAGGGAAAAAAGGTGAGTGGTGCGTTGAGGTATATGTGGAGTCAAAAAAAACGTTATCTATGGAGGCAAAGAAGGGAATGTATGAAAGTATAGTAGTACCAACACTCTTATATGGATGTGAAAGCTTGGGTGGTAAATGCAGCAGCGAGGAGACGGTTGGAGGCAGTGGAGATGTCCTGTCTAAGGGCAATGTGTGGTGTAAATATTATGCAGGAAAATTCGGAGTGTGGAAATTAGGAGAAGGTGTGGAGTTAATAAAAGTATTAGTCAGAGGCCAGAAGAGGGGGTTGTTGAGGTGGTTTGGTCATTTAGAGAGAATGGATCAAAGTAGAATGACATGGAAAGCATATAAATCTATAGGGAAGGAAGGAGGGGTAGGGGTCGTCCTCGAAAGGGATGGAAAGAGGGGGTAAAGGAGGTTTTGTGGGCGAAGGGCTTGGACTTCCAGCAAGCGTGCATGAGCGTGTTAGATAGGAGTGAATGGAGGTGAATGATACTTGGGACCTGACGATCTGTTGGAGTGTGAGCAGGGTAATATTTAGTGAAGGGATTCAGGGAAACCGGTTATGTTCATATAGTCGGACTTGAGTCCTGGAAATGGGAAGTACAATGCCTGCACTTTAAAGGAGAGGTTTGGGATATTGGCAGTTTGGAGGGATATGTTGTGTATCTTTATACGTATATGCTTCTAAGCTGTTGTATTCTGAGCACCTCTGCAAAAGCAGTGATAATGTGTGAGTGTGGTGAAAGTGTTGAATGATGATGAAAGTATTTTCTTTTTGGGGATTTTCTTTCATTTTTTGGGTCACCCTGCCTCGGTGGGAGACGGCCGACTTGTTAAAAAAAAAAAATATATATACACACAAAATAATTTTTTTATAAGTTAATGTAAGTTAATAAAAGGTCAATCTAACCATACTTCAGCAGAAGTTTTCCTATGCTATTGGCATTCACTTGTCTTATTCTAGCAGCTTTGTTTGCTGCCAGTGTAATCAAGCCAAGGGAACCTGATAAAACCCATGGCAACTTAAGAACCTCAGCAACACACTTGGGGCACCCAAAGTGCTACTGAAAATCACACCAAGACTAAGTCATGCATCTATGCTAAAGCTATTCTGAATAGCAGCATTCATATACAATATATACCTTCACTTCGTAGTATAACCGGAAATACTGTAGCTTGACCTTACTCTTCCTGTTACTCATTGCTATTTGCAAGACAATGTCAGCTGCATACTCTTGTGCTAAGAACGCTAATTTTCATTAACAATTATTAGGAATGATTAAAATGGTTAGGTATAGGAAATTTACTGAATGAATTATGGCTTGGCTACTATACTGTAGGACATGTGCTTGTGATACTGAAAACTTCTTGTCAACATGTTGAAGTGAGGTTTCTCTGCTGACTGCAGCACAGTAAGTAACAGCACGAGGGACAAGCAAGTGGTTGGTTTCCTCTCATAACAGTCATAGTTGATTATATGAAAATAAAATATAATGTGCTAATACAAAGAAATTAAAGCCAAGCATTTTGAGTGATAGATCGGGCCATGAAGAGAGACAGAGAAGAATGGGATTAAGGAGAGATGTAATGATAATAAAAAATAATCTAAGTATTGCTAGGCTATTTTAGACTAAGATCATACTGACCTTAGACACAGGGAGAAATTTTTGTGGACTACCACTGACCTGTAGCACAAAGCCATGAACGCAAACGCAAAGAACACCCCGCCCATTCCTGACACCAACCCAACTACGAGGTACACTGTGTCACTTCCCTGCTGCCCAACTGTGGCATCACAATGTGGTCGCCCCAGCCATTGGTGCAGGAGTCGCAAGGTGGGTTAGCAGCAGGATTTGGGATTACAGATGAAATTTTTTGTGGAAGGAGTGATTTTTGTGTCCACAATCACAGGTTGTGCAGTCAGGGTCAGATGGTTAGACCACACAAGTGGTAATCAGGATGATGGCGTAGTGATGGTGAGTCAACCAATGTGACGGTCGCAGCCAAGATGGCGGACCGAACAGGGTGGCAGACCAGGCGAGCGAATTGTTGAGAGGGGGAGGACACAGCACCCAGGGCGGAAAGAGAGCAAGGGGAAACAAAGTTATGAACACAAACTTTCACAATACAACCCTTTAAATAATACCTAGCATGTCATTAATCTATAAGGGTTTGTGTCCTTGTCACCTTCTAATAGTTTTAGGACCACTGTTGTGTAGGAAATCTTTTCTTGCTGGACAGAAACAGAACTTTCAGACAGCTTATCAAATCAAGCATTTGTGTGACAAACTGCAGATTTAATTGAAATCATTAAAATAAAGCACCTAATGATCTTTTTATTTGCTTTTATGATAAGCCTCTGTTTATCTATCATAAGGCGAGCATGAGATACACAAAGAACATAGAAATTTTCTTGCCACATTGCAGAAAGTAGCAAGCTAGGTGAAAGTAACATGAGGAGACAGAAGCACCAATCAGCAACCCAATGTGCTGAAAATAAATTGATGACATGATGACAGCTGGAGCACCTCAAAATGACACAGATGGCACATTGATGCAATCCACAGGTGGTCCATAGATTGTCAACACAAGAGCTTCGGACACATTAAAAGTCATCTGATCCAAAACAAGACCCATTAAACACTTCAAAAATTACAACTTGAGAGTTTAGAACAGAAGTCTGACTATCACCAAAATCATAATATTTATATAGAAGCTTTAAGATTTTTGTGTTCAACATGATTAAAAAGAATTTTGTGCAAGATTTTTATCATCATTTGTGGTTACATTTTTTGGCATGTAAGATAACTACTGATAAGGTGTTGAGCATTTAAATGTTATTACAGCCTATGAAACTTGTATGAAAATGAGACCTCCGTGATGGATCAGATGAGGGAAAGAGGGAGCGAGGGGCAGGGGAGCTGCTAGTTGCCACAGCCAGGGAAATGCCCATACCAGTCCATCTACAGTACAGTACTTAGCAGGGTGTTATTTTTCATTAACGAGAATACATGGCAAAGACACTGGGGGGAAGATATTATGAGTACCTGTAGCAAACTGCTATTAGAGTGAAAAAAAAGAAAACGGCTCCTACTCCACCTACAAGTAAGAGCACCATAGCCAGCCTTCCAAGACCTTCAGTGTTGCTGCTTTGATCTGCTGTTGGGAGGTACAAGAGATAAGTTAAAGAGGATGTATAAGCAATGTAGAACAAAACACACACACACACACACACACACACACACACACACAAAGTTATAATAAAGCAACACTTGAGTTCAGTGTGACAAAACAGGAGACTTCAGCTCTGTCCACACAAAAATATTTATGAACGGCTTAGGACTTGATGGAAGTCGAACACCAACCAACTCCGGATAATAAAAACTTAATAAAATCCTAAATGAAAAAATAAAAATGGAAAATGAACTACAGTATAGGATACATAATGTCTAGATTCATTCAATACAATTTAGAAATAAAAGGCAAAATGCTATATTACTTGAATATAAAATTTTATATTTTTTAATGTTCAAATTCTATCACAGTTATCAATACCTTCAAGTTGAACCCATAGGAGAAATGCAATATCCCAATGTTGCCAACATAGAAACATTTGAGTGGTTCAGCATTGCCAACCATTCAGGCTCACCATATTGCGTGTTGCGTCCTTGTTTTAGATCAAAGGAGCTGCTGGATGTATTAGATGGTGGGGTCTTCATCGTGGGTGGTGGATAGGGTGGCCCTTGAGAATCAACTGGGTTAGGTGTGGTGTAGAGGGAGCTGTTGTCGAAAATGGAGCAGTCTACCCCAGTCCAACCCGGGGTGCAGAAGCAGGAGTTGACATTGGAGCACACCTGTTAAGGTTGTCAATGGTCAACTCTTAAGCCTGACTCGTTGTCCACTGACTCAAGCCAAAGTACGTTCAGAGGATTCCCCATATTTAAGTATTATTTGCATTTTGTGAAAATTTTTACATTGCAAAATATACTAACTTCCTCTGTAATTCTGAGGATTTCTTTGTACTATATACTAATATATTTGCTATGCCTAGTCTAAGATACGTAATCCAGGTATTACTGCAATATATCAACAACTTTTTTTATGTACGATTTACTGTAGTTAAAATCTATTAGTCGTTACTTTGATATTTAAGTAATGTGAACATTCATGTCATGTTCCTATGGATAGTCTAACAAATACAGTATACTGTGTATTAGAATATTTACAAATTAGCAGAGGTCATATCCACTGCAGATGTGACCCAAACACTCACATCAAATACAGTGGACCCCCGCATAACGATCACCTCCCAATGCGACCAATTATGTAAGTGTATTTATGTAAGTGCGTTTGTACGTGTATGTTTGGGGGTCTGAAATGGACTAATCTACTTCTCAATATTCCTTATGGGAACAAATTCGGTCAGTACTGGCACCTGAACATACTTCTGGAATGAAAAAATATCGTTAACCGGGGGTCCACGTATAGAATATCCATGTTTGCCATCAAAGCATGAATATCTTAGTGAATGTTTTGCAAACATAAAATAGAATTATTATTATTATTATTATTACTATTGTTATAATCAATTTAGCACCAAACTCAAAAGGGTCAATAAATAAAATTAAGAATATAATAATTTTCAATGATTTCTTCTTCCCTATTTGTTATATCATGTACAATGATATGTCTTTGTAGTCTTAAGTTAGGCTTAAGCTTGCCTGAAATGCTCTGCATAACTCTGGGCTTTTAACATGCTCTTAAGCATCACCCATTTCTGTAATGTATCATGCTGAAATAAACTTGTATTGTATTTGGGGAAGCCAGTAACTTTTTTAATGTAGATGCCTAATCTTAAGTATAATAAAATCTGATGTCTTCATTGTATAATGAAATATTTTCAAATATATTACTGATCAGAATGACACTCAGAATTAATCAAAAAAGATCATTTAGAACTATCTTATATTGACACATTATATGTACGAATTTAAGTTGCATTAGAAAACAGTGTTATTATTATTATTATAATTAGGGGGAAGATCTAAACCCATAGGGGTCATACAGAAAAAAAAAAGAAATGCTAGAACCATGGCTTTTCAATGGCAAGGTTGCCATCTATATGATAGTGCCATGCCTAGTCATGGGCTGGGTCACAGGGGCACCAACCCCTCAAACACCCTCCAGGTATATGCAGAATATATGTTAAATAGTATACCTCCAGGTATATGCAGAATATATGTTAAATAGTATACAAGTTGTAGTATAAGTGTGCCTGAAATGCTTTGTATAATAAGTGCCTTTCTTTTGAGCATACAACTCTAAGTGTATCAAACTTTATCTGCATCAGAAGTGTATCAAAATTGTAACTTAATGAACTGCAAATCCATCCTTTGTAATTTCTATGCATGTTTCTAAGAAACAAAGATTTTCGTTTTCACGTTTGAAGTAAATATTATGGCCTTGCCCTCTGGGCTGCTCAAGATTTGCAGGCCCTCATATGACACTGGTAAGTTGATTTACAAGCCCTAATATGACACTGGTAAACTGAGTTACAAGCCCTCATATGACACTGGTAAGTTGATTTACAAGCCCTAATATGACACTGGTAAACTGAGTTACAAGCCCTCATATGACACTGGTAAGTTGATTTACAAGCCCTAATATGACACTGGTAAACTGAGTTACAAGCCCTCATATGACACTGGTAAGTTGATTTACAAGCCCTAATATGACACTGGTAAACTGAGTTACAAGCCCTCATATGACACTGGTAAGTTGATTTACAAGCCCTCATATGACACTGGTAAGTTGACTTGCAAGTATCTCAAGATTTCAATGGTAGGACTACACCAACTATTGTTCCTAAACACAATGCATTATTGAACTTCTGAATTATATGGATGTCATTTTCATTGTCATAGTCCTTATTTATGCCTATATTTTAGTTACATTTATAAGGAAGTGCTAAGACCATAGAGGCTGTACAGTACCTGGCAAATAGGAGCTAATTAGATGACATCCAAATAAGGAAATTTCCAGTTCCTTGGATCAAGAGTCTTTCACCAGCATCAAGGGGGTTTCCAATTGAAAGGCTACAAGATATATCTATAAAGCATAACCAAAAACCAAGATCAACATTTTTACTACTCTCATTCACTTCCAAGATTACGTATCTTATTTTTAGGCAGACAATTAAATCTTTGTCTAGTGTATCTTACACAGCACACTTGTATGATCATAGTATTACACTAATAGATCAATACAAGGTAAATGCCCTTACTCATTACTTTACGGATCAAAACCTAATTCAAGGGCCCTTTTTTTTTTTTCCTTTAAATCAGGGGATTTTTCCTTTTTTTCACCATGGACTCCTCCAAAAACTGCCGGGGTACTGATGCTTTCTTATACAAGCGTGAGGGCATGCATTTTCTGTGGCATTTCCCCACGAGGGTGTGCTGGAGGTCTTGCCACCCATGACTTTGGGATTAAGCTTTAGAGACATAGTGCTTTCTATGCCTCCATGAATGCACCCACTATGACAATTGCAAAACCCCTGGCTTGTTTTGGGTTATGAGTCATAAATTTTTTTGGGCAATAAGCATAGTAATTTTGTTACTGATACACGGTTTTCCCATTATCCACAGAACAAAAGGCAATTATGAAAATTTAAAAAATGTATATATTATCTTCAGAGGAAAAAAAAAACTGCATCTTTGCACAAAACATGCACTCAGAGTATAGTACTGTGCAAGCACACATATATTTACATAGCACTCAAGTCTGACATACCAAGGGGATAGTACTGTATAAAGCACTACGAGATAGTACTGTACATGCATGTTTTTTTATGAATGCAATCATTCCAAATTTACTAAACACATCATCCCGCTGCAATTTTCCGGAAGAAGCTATTTCTTACTTCACTTTTTTGCGTTTCAAAAAACGTGAATATCAAATTTATTATCTTTAAAGTGTGATTTATTAAGTTAAACCCTAAAGCCAAAGGGTTAATATAAAATTATATTATACAGCAACAAAATTTCTAAATAATTAACCCATATCTCACAAATAATGCAAAGCAAACCCCAAAAATTAATAAGAATTCTTGTTTTTTCATATCTTATTGTATTTAATTTGGTCTTCAAATTTTTAATATGGCAAAAAAAAAATTACTGTCAATGGGAAAAACCCTGGCACCCCCCCAAAAAAAATAGTTTTTAAAAACCCTTTAAACCCAAAACCTCAGTGTGAAAGTTGCTCAACTGTAACGTGATGGAATAAAAGGTATAAAATTTACCAACACAATGGAAAAAATAGACGCAAATGCAGATCCCATAAAACTGCTTTTTTTTCTATTTTTCCACGTAAGCGTGAAGGGGTGCTGAGGGGCTTTTTTATATTTAATTTTTACCGGGGTTCTTCCCCAGCGCATAAACTGCTTGTTTTTTTCTTTTTTCATTTTTTCAGGGATTGCCTAAGATATGTTTATGAAATAAGAAGAAACAGCAATCAGTCAGAGACAGACTAATACAAACACACCAACAACACAACTGATACCTTACCTGTAGTACATACCTCCAAGTATCATTCTCTGAAATATATTTTTATTAAAGCAAAATCATATGAAATAGACCTCAAGTGTCCTAAATGAAGAGTCAAATGACAGATCATGTATACTGCAGTGTCTCATTACTCAAAACACTTAAAACAATATTCTCAAGGATAATAAAAATGACCACCGCATCATTTACATTTTTTAAGTTATAGAAGCAGAAGTCATAATTTGAAAGTGTGAATGTGAATGTGAATGTGAGTGTGAGTGTGTGTGTATGTGAGTGTGAGTGTGTGTGTGTGTGTGTGTGTGTGTGTGTGTGTGTGTGTGTGTGTGTGTGTGTGTGTGTGTGTGTGTGTGTGTGTGTGTGTGTGTGTGTGTGTGTGTGTGTGTGTGTGTGTACTCACCTAGTTGTGGTTGCAGGGGTCAAGCCATAGCTCCTGGCCCTGCCTCTTCATTTGTTGCTACTAGGTCACTCTTCCTCCTCCATGAGCTTTATCATACTTCTTAAAGCTATGTATGACTCCTGCCTCCACTACATCACTTTCCAGACTATTCCACTTTCTGACAACCCTGTGACTGTAAGAAATACTTCCTAACATCCATGTGATTCATCTGAGTCTACAATTTTCAACTGTGACCTCTTGTTGTTATGTCCCATCTCTGGAACATCCTGTCTCTGTCCACCTAGTTGATTCCTCTCAGTATTTTATGTCGTTATCATATCCCCCCTATCTCTCCTGTCCTCCAGTGTTGTCAGGTCAAACAAGTTTTGATGCCTTCCTTCTCCCAGGTCGTTTTCCTTAACCTCTCCTCAAAGGACATACCCCTTAGCTCCGGGACCAGTCTTGTTGCAAACCTTTGCACTTTCTCTAGTTTCCTTACATGCTTGGCTAGGTGTGGGTTACAAACTGGTGCTACATACCCCAATATGGGCCTAACGTACACAGTGTACAGGGTCCTGATTGATTCCTTATTAAAATGATAAAATGCTGTTCTTAGGTTTGCTAGGCGCCTGTATGTTGCAGCAGTTATTTGGTTGATGTGCGCCTCAGGAGATGTGCCCAGTGTTATACTCACCCCAAGATCCTTTTCCTTGAGTGAGGTTTGTAGTCTTTGTCCCCCTAGACTGTATTCTGTCAGCAGTCTCCTTTGCTCTTCCCCAATCTTCATGACTTTGCACTTGGTGGGGTTGAACTCCAGGAACCAGTTGCTGGTCCAGGCCTGCAGCCTGTTCAGATCCCGTTGCAGTTCTGCCTGGTCCTCGTCCGATTGAATTCTTCTCATTAACTTCGCATC